TCTATCTATCTATCTATCTATCTATCTATCTATTTATTTATCTATCTATCTATTTATTTATTTATTTATTTTTTACGAGAATAAAATCATAATACTACCAGATAAGTTATAATCTTACATGGCATGTCCATTTTCTCTTCCTGTGTCGACTCAGTGTTAACTTTTGGATCACAGTTAGTGTAATATGTTTCCATTCACTATATGTGATGACTAAAACTGTTATTGCAGCCATTAACTGTAAAGCCAGATGACTTCAGTTTTATGAATCCAGAGTTTAATAACACCGACACAAAGTATAATTTCAGGATGCTCAACAGTCCTTATTTTAATGAGGTGGTAAGACTGCTTTCTCAGTTAGAACTTCTTGTAATATTTCAACTTTATTCTGATAATATTATAACTTTATACTCATAGCATTATGACTTCATTCTTGTAATTTAAAAATAATCTTGTGTGGCCCTAATGCTCCTAATACTTAAAACTCCAGAAAACAAACACGAACCCAAACAATGAGCGAACAATAAAAGAAAAGGAAATCYTTAGTTTTGACTGCACCTCTCCAAAGCCTCCGCTGTCCCAGAAAGACTCGCTATACTGTCCAAAGCAGGAAACAGCGAGTAGCTTCCCTGCCCATCAGGCTCCATCTCTGATTCAAACGTGTTGAGTGACTCCATGAACGACAGGAAAACAGGGAAAACGAGCTCCTGTCATGAAAGAAGAAACCACATTATTATTATTTAATCTGAATGAACCTCTCAGTCTCTGAAGCGCAGACAGGCAATAGTTGTATATAAACAGACTCCCGCACCTTCTGTTCATATGTATGACTTTTAATAAAACACCAACGATYATATGTTGGCTTGTTTAAAATAAATACCTGCAGAACCGCAGCAAATCCTTATTTCAGTCTGTGCTCCTTACTTTTCCGTGTCGAGCGGAACCTTTGTCTTCATTATGTTGTTTTCATCCGGAGCGGCTAAATGCTAACTTTAACTGTAGAGGGATATGATTGATTTAACTATGTGGCAAATTAGGTCGTGTTAGAAATACTTAGAATTGTCTGTTTTCATAATCACAGAAATAGTAAAGTAGGAACTAATGCTTTAGTAATACGAGCATTTAACAGTGAGCATATTGACCGGATATCCGGTGTAGCATTTGTAAATATAACAAAATAAAGCTCTAAATGTTTACGGATGAAAAGTCAGTAAAAGCATTTTTTTCTTTTAAGTTATACAATTTTGGGTGAATAAATAAAGCGTGTAGATTGGAATGAAGGAGACACATTTTTCGATTCGCGATTGAATGTCCGTACAG